CTAAAGGCTCACTTGACCAGGTCCCTTTCCTCCTCTTCGGCAGCCGCAGTGAGAGTCTCTCCAGAACTTATCTGCAGAGCAGCTACATGGTCTCCGGTGAATACCTTTATTCGACATTATCAACTAGATGTCAGAGCGGGTCAATGGGACAAGTTTGGTAAAAGTGTCCTTTCAGCATCCAACTAATATCTCTCCTTTTGTATGATTTCACTTTTAGATGCGCTAATACACTTGCATTACGAAATATTTTGAGTCCGTGTATTTTTTTATTTCCTCCCTTGGTTTTGCTTGGGTATTACCCATTGTTGTGCTGCCATGGATATGGCCAGGAAAGAGGAAAATGTATTCATACTTACCGTAATTTTTTTTTTCCTGGTCATAGGCCATGGCAGCATAAAGATCCCCCCCAGGGGGAATACAAGACTGAGGGTAATAGGGGTAGGAGGGGGTACTTATACCCTTATTTTACCCTTATTTTAATTAGTTCCTGTCTAATTAGGGATGGGGAGGAGCTACTCATTGTTGTGCTGCCATGGCCTATGACCAGGAAAAGAAAATTACTGTAATTATGAATACATTTTCATATATATATATATATATATATATATATATATATATATATATATATCAAATGTTTATACCTATAGATCTTTCTTACATCAAATCAGCTTTAGAAAGCAGGCTGTTTAATCCAGGTTCAATAATCTTGATTACTGATATAGCCTTCTCACATGTAATTAGGTCACATATCTTTCATAAAAAGTACTGCTATACTTCATTTGGCAAGAGAAAACAGATAATTACATAAAAGCATCCTGTAAATCTATATCATATTTTAATTTAGTGATAGATAAAATGTCTTCCTCACTCAAAATATGCTCATGCAGCATATACTAGAAATATGTGACAATTAAAAAAAATAACATGTGCAATGGTAAAACACTTGGCTATCACTTGATAATAGCACAAATAAATATGCATTTTAAATTGTGGATGATTTAATAAAAAATCTTATAACTTTTCACCAGAATTGGTTAGGGAGTCTACAAACTCAATTCTTCAGAATTACTAAGTGGGGTTACAACTACCTTCACCAATGAAACGCTATAAGCTTATACATAAAAAAAGATTCATACTATTTACAAACACAGGGTACGCAACGTTTGGCACTCCAGTTGTTGTGAACTACGTCTCCACTAATGCACTTACAGCAATAATGCTGGCAAAGCATTGGGGGAGATATATGTAACAAAATATGGATTGCCGAAGGATGCCTACCTATGTACTAGTACATCTCTTGGGCTGATTTGGAACGAGCACTTTCAGTAGATTAAACTTATGCTGTAAGTACAGAGTTTAATGCAACAATTAAACAGCAAACATATTCATAGTTTCTAGCAATAGCATTGTCAGCCATACAAGAAAATACATGCTGGGGCCATGTTAATCTCCCATGTTAAAATTAGTGTAGGAACCACCGATATTTAGGTACTGTGACACAATATGGCCTTATGGTGTAATTGAATTCCCAAAGTTGTTTGCTATAGGTGTTTTTATGTAGCCGTGCAAAATTTTAAACTGTATTTTTGTTTTTGTGTGTGCACTGTTCCTTTATCTGTATATTGTATACATTTCGGTCTTTACGGCAGTACCACTGCATAGAGATGCATGTCCCGGGTGTGCCCCCAATTCCCCTTTTTTATATCACCCAATGTGCAAGGGGCAGCAAGGAGATGCTAGCAATTTGGAGCCCTAACCCTTCCTTCTTCAGCTGTTCAGTGTAGTGTGGGGGTATAACACTATAACTGGGTAGGGAGCCAAAGAATGGCCTGTGCTAATTCCCCCACCCCCAAAAAGATGGACCAGTGGATGCCTAGTTCTCTGTTTGTAAGAGCTATGGGGGTAGATTTTAACCATACCCTGGCCTGAGAAATTACCTAACCCCACCACTAAAAAGGAAAGAGGATGCCCAAATGGTTAAAATAAGTTCCCTGGTGGTGCTAGTCCAATAAGGAAGTGGTAGGTACTGTTCACTGGACATCTTTATATGTAAGTCTCTCCTACATGACTCCCATTCAAGGGGCAGAGGAATAGGGAATGACTATTATGGTTCATTTTGGGGTCCGCATTCTTTTTTTTCTTACCATGTTTTTCTGTTTCCATCCTTTTGAAATCTTTAATCTTAACATTAAAAATATTAAGATCGTAAAATTAAAAATAAAGGACAGAAAAAGGTCAAAAAATATACTCTGACAAAGTCTCATCACATTACGTATTATGACGTCTACTGTCTCATATAACGCAATTGGCTGATTCTATATTCCTATGCTCCTTTGTTACAATGCATCATGCAAATCAAGTCAGGAAATAAATTCAGTAGCAATAACATTCTATAGTTACAAATAAACATAGTATACACAAAAGCATATTTTTTACAATGGGCATTAAAAGAAAGCTCCCAGCACCATAACCACAACAGCACTATTTGAGTCCCGCAGGCTCCTGCACTATATCTGGTCTTGTCCTGCAGGAGAACCTAAATGCCCTTTCTAAAATGGGCACTACAGGTACCAAAATCATTTCAGCTTAATTAAGCCGTGTCAGGGTTTCTGTAGATGCCCAACACGCAGAACTTAAGTAGATATAAAGCAAATACCTAAAACGTATTACCGGACCTTAGAATGGCCGGATTTAACGTAAAAAGGCAAAAGACACAAGATAGGGAAAAGCCAAGACAAAGGTATAACGCAAAGATAAACAAGCCAAAGGTCAAGAAATGGAGATATCAGAATAGTCAGGAGCCAAGCCAAAAGTCAAGGAATACAGAGATCGTATAGTCAAAAAGGGAAGCCAAGGTCAGATACACAAGAAATCAATACAATGAATGCACTCTCAGATAATCAACTGGAAACCACAACAGGGCACAGAGAAATGGACAAACTAGGTTTAAATAGCTAAAGGCGTTTCCTGATAGGCTGTGGGGAAACATGTGATCAAGTTTATGTGTGTAACACCCATATTAAATTAATTGATCTGGCCCTTTAAGGGTTAAACAGGAAACCCTTTATTTTTCACAGCAGCAGCGGGCGTCACCCTTAATGATACAGAGCCGGCTGCTGAGAGAGGAAAGGTCACCTCTGGTGAGTGTTTGGCAGTTATCCCCTTAGTTTGTGGGAATACCGCTGTAGCGATACGCGCCTGCCGGGACCAGTGGTGTATCCTGGTTTTGTGCTGCCCTAGGCAGGACAAAACTCAGGCGCCCCCCAACCCCCCCTGCGCGCGCGCCCCCCACCCATCCCTTCCCCCCGCGCGCATGACCCCTCCCATCCCTTCCCCCGCCTTCTAAATACACACACAGACACACACACTCACAGACACACTCACTCACACTAACAGACACACACACACACACTAACAGACACACACACACTAACACACACTCACTAACAGACACACACACACACTCTAACAGACACACACACTAACAGACACACACACACACTCACTAACAGACACACACACTAACAGACACACACACACACTCACTAACAGACACACACACTAACAGACACACACACACACACTCACTAACAGACACACACACACTAACACACACTCACTCTAACAGACACACACACTCTAACAGACACACACTCTAACAGACACACACTCTAACAGACACACACACTCACATTAACACATGTACTTTTTAAACCTCCCCCCCCCTCCAGCCTCCTTACCTTTGGGAGTGCTGGGGAGGGAAGGGGTTCTCTATCTCCCTGGTGGTCCAGTGGCTGCTGGGTAGGCGGCATTGGCGAGGGAGCTCTTCCTGTGAGCTGACTGCTCAGCTCCCTCGCGCGCCGCAGAGTGAGGCTGGGAGCCGGGATATGACGTCATCAACCCGGCTCCCAGCCTCACTCTGCGGCGCACGAGGGAGCTGAGCAGTCAGCTCACAGGAAGAGCTCCCTCGACCAGCTGCCCGCCCACTCGCCAATGCCGCCCGGCGCCCAGCATGTCTGTTAGCCGCGAGGCTAACATGACATTTGCCCTGGGCATTTGGGGGGCGGCTTTTTTTGCCGTCCCCTGAAAAATGCCGCCCAAGGCAAATGCCTTGTTTGCCTCGCGGCTAAAACGCCCCTGGCCGGGACCAATGCTGCCCTCTGAAAGGAAGCGTGACAAGCAGTTTTGGATATATAGGTCAGCCTCTGCAGACTCACTGCTCAATTCTTTGATATTTAGAAGTTAAAGTTCTTTGTTTTGCAGCCCTAGTCATACCTCCCTGCATGTGACTCACAGCCTACCTAAACACTTCCTGTAAAGAGAGATATAATGTTTAAACTTACTTTATTGCACAGTATGTTTAATTTAGAGTTTCTTATCCCCTGCTCTGTTAATAGTGTGTAACATGTGTGCAATTAGAGTTAAATTTATGGAGCAGAATATTAAAATATCTAAAGTAATTAAAACTGATAAGAAAATGACACCATTTTTTTATGCAGACTGTGTCAGTCACATCCAGGGAACGTGTGGCTAGGGCTGCATAAATAAAAACAAATGTGATTTGATTCCTAAATTGAAAAGTGAGTCTTTAGGGGAATGATCTTTACACAAAAACTGCATCATTAAGCTAAAGTTGTATTGATGCTATAGTGTCCCTTTAACTCTATAGAGCTAACTGGATGCTAGTGCATGCCCCCAGGACAAATAGAAGAGTTAGATAATCCACTAGTTGAGGAAATAGCTAAAATGACAATGAAGGGGGGAGTTATCATCATGGGTGACTTAGGTGATTTAGGTAAACTAGAAAATTGGTCAGAGTTGTGGCAACTGACATTTAATGTGGATAAGTGCAGGATAATGCATCTTGGACATAAAAACGGGCAGAGTACAGAATATTTGATAGAGTCCCAACCTCAACATCTGAGGAAAGGGATTTAGGAGTGATTATTAGTGATGTCCCGAACTGTTCGCTGAACGGTTCGCCATGGACTCCAGTCAGCAGGCACATTCCAGCCAATCAGCAGGAGACCCTCCCTCCCAGACCCTACCACCTCCTGGACAGCTCACTAAGAATGCAGCTTCAAAATGGATGCTGTCCAGGAGGTGGGAGGGTCTGGGAGGGAGGGTCTGCTGCTGATTGGCTGTAATCTGTCTGCTGACTGGAGTCCACGGCGAAACGCTCGTGGCGAACCATGGTGAACCGTTCGCAAACCGTTCGGCGAACAGTTCACTAGTGATTATTTCTGATGACTTAAAGGTAGGCAGACAATGCAATAGAGCAGCAGGAAATGCTAGCTTAATGCTTGGTTGTATAGGGAGAGGTTTTAGCAGTAGAAAGAGGGAAGTGCTCATGCCATTGTACAGAACACTGGTGAGACCTCACTTGGAGTATTGTACACAGTACTGGAGACCGTATCTTCAGAAGGATATTGATACCTTAGAGAGGGTTCAGAGAAGGGCTACTAAACGGGTTAATGGATTGCGAGATAAAACTTACCAGCAAAGGTTAAAGGATCTTAACATGTATAGCTTGGAGGAAAGACGAGACGGGGGGATATAATAGAAACATTTAAATACATAAAGGGAATCAACACAGTAAAGGAGGAGACTATATTTAAAGAAGAAAAACTACCACAACAAGAGGACATAGTCTTAAATTAGAGGGACAAAGGTTTAAAAATAATATCAGGAAGCATTACTTTACTGAGAGGGTAGTGGATGCATGGAATAGCCTTCCAGCTGAAGTGGTAGAGGTTAAACAGTAAAGGAGTTTAAGCATGAGTGGGATAGGCATAAGGCTAGGCAGGTAGACTATGTAATAGAGCAGCAGGAAATGTTAGCAGAATGCTTGGTTGAATAGGGAGAGGTATTAGCAGTAGAAAGAGGGAAGTGCTCATTCCACTGTACAGAACACTGGTGAGACCTCACTTGGAGTATTGTACGCAGAAGGATATTGATAATTTAGAGAGAGTTCAGAGAAGGGCTATTAAACTGGTTCATGGATAAAATTTACAAGGAAAAGTTAAAGAATCTTAACATATATAGCTTGGAGGAAAGACAAGATAGGGGGGATATGATAGAAACATTTAAATGGGAATCAGCACAGTAAAGGAGTAGACTATATTTAAAAGAAGAAAAACTACCACAATAAGAGGACATAGTCTTAAATTAGAGGGGCAAATGTTTAAAAATAATATCAGGAAGTATTATTAGGGGTAGTGGATGCAGGAATAGCCTTCCAGCTGAAGTGGTAGAGATTAACGCAGTAAAGGAGTTTAAGCATGCATGGGTGTCACGGCCCCCGGCTCGCGGCTGCTTGCCAGCAAGTCAGGAGCCATGCTGTCTCCTCTGCTGCAAAGCAAAATGGCTCCGACCACGCGGTCGCGGCCATTTATAGCCCCACCCCCCAGGGTCACGCTAACATCAACGAACATGCACGTTCTGGGGTCAGAGGTCACACTCTGACCAATCACAGCAGAAGGAGGCATATTTAAATCCCTGAAGTTCCCTGGCTCATTGCCCTGTTGTGGTTTTAGTTCGTGGTTCCCGAGAGTGCGTTTTCTTGTCTTGTATTTGATCTCCCTAGTATTTTGACCTTGGCTATCCTTGACTACTCTGATTTCTGGTTCCTTTGACTTGGCTTTCCATATCGTTCTCGTGTATTTCTGGCTTCCTTCACCTCGGCTTTCCCTTGACCATTCACAGTCTTTCAACGTATTAATCCAGCCATTCTAAGTACCGGTTTACATTCTGTCCTTTTGCTATTCTGTCTATGTAGATATTAAATAGTTCTGCGTGCTGGACCGCACTAGCAGTCATGACAGTGGGATAGGCATAAGTCTATCCTAGCTATAAGATAAGGCCAAGGACTAATGAAAGTTTTTAGAAAATTGGGCAGACTAGATGGGCCGAATGGTTCTTATCTGCCGTCACATTCCATGTTTCTATGTTTCTACTGTAGGAGGAGAGCTGTACTAAAATGGTCTGACTACATGCTATGGGATAGCGCCAGGGGTTACGGTATTTAGAACATTTCCTTAAAGTAAAGAAGACCTATTGCACAGTAGGTTGACCTTCTATAGTGTCCAGATATTACACTATTATTTATGAGCTGCTAAATTAAAATTTTAAAATAAAGAATTTAGGAAAATTGAGGTAGCATAGAAATATTATGCACAGTGCACTTATGTTTCATTACTCAGAATTGCCCACTTGAATTGTGAGCTTTTGTAATTTTCAATATTCTATGTTCAGCATGAGCTACGATTTGCATCGTCATTTAAGTCCTTTGAAAGCAGAGGATTGTTAAAATGTGAAAGATAATCTGTTTTTCACAGGATCACGTTACTTTAATTACCTATATTAGGATATAAACACAGCTGGGAAGAATCAGACATTGTGTCAAATTTAATTATAACATCATAACAAACTACTAGAACATTGAACTCTAGTAGTAGACAATATTATCAGTGTAATATCTGCATTCACTTTAATCCACAATCCAATTTTGGACAATTCTCACAAGAATCCTGGCTAGAATGGAATGAAAGAATCAATGTATTTTTCATTTTTACATTTGATGCAAGCAGCACTAGCCCTACATGAATCTTTTAAAGGAACTCTTTTTAGTATATAGATCAGTCCTTTGCAGCGTCACTGCGCAATTCTCTGACATTCAGGTGTTAATTCACAAAATGCAGAGTTATCCCCCCTATAGCTCCATGTCCGTTTTTCCCAAGGAGCCAAAACCAGCACTAAAGCTCTGCTCCCCAGCCCCAACCAAGCAATCTAGCTGGCAAATAAAGCCTGGGAAACATGCTTGAGAAAACGTCCAGCTCTCCACAGCAAGTAGTGAACTTGTGTGTGTAGTGAAATGTGTGTGTCAGTGAGCTTTTGTGTAGTGAGCTATGTGTACTGAACTTGTGTGTGTCAGTAAGCTTGAGTGTGGTCATCTGCAGGTTAACAAGGCATTTGCCTTGGCCGGCACTTTCCCGGGGGAAGCCCCCAAGCACCCCGACATATGCTATTTTAGCCTAGTGTCCGGCATGTCCCAAAAGCTGGCCACATTAGGGCCTCACGGGGTGGACAGCTACTTATATTGCAGGGTGGTGGTGAAGGAGCCCTGAGCTCTTCCAGCTCTTCTGTGATGCCAGGAGCTGGAATATGATGTCTCTCCAGACCCGGCATCAGTAAGAAGCACGCGAGAGAGCAGAGCAATAAGATTAAAGCTCCCTCGCTGCCAACATTGACCACTGTCAGTCCCCACTGGACCCCATGGAAAGAGAGAATCCTCTTCATCACTCCCAAAGGTAGGGAGGCTGGGTGGATTGCAATTAAAATAAAACAAACAATTATTTGTGAGTGTGTCAGTATCAGTGTGTGTGTGGGTGTGGGTGTCAGTGAATGTGTTACTGTCAGTGTGTGTCTGCTAGTGAGCATCTATTTGTGTCTGTCAGTGAATGTATGTCTGTCAGTGAATGTGTGTCTGATAGTGAGTGTGTGTGCGTGTTTGTCAGTGAATGTGTATGTCAGTGTATGTTAGTGTCAGTGAATGTGTATGTCTGTTAGTGTGTATGTGTGTCTGTCAGTGACTGTGTGTGTCTGTCAGTGAAAGTGAGTATGTGAATATACAGGGAGTGCAGAATTATTAGGCAAATGAGTATTTTGACCACATCATCCTCTTTATGCATGTTGTCTTACTCCAAGCTGTATAGGCTCGAAAGCCTACTACCAATTAAGCATATTAGGTGATGTGCATCTCTGTAATGAGAAGGGGTGTGGTCTAATGACATCAACACCCTATATCAGGTGTGCATAATTATTAGGCAACTTCCTTTCCTTTGGCAAAATGGGTCAAAAGAAGGACTTGACAGGCTCAGAAAAGTCAAAAATAGTGAGATATCTTGCAGAGGGATGCAGCACTCTTAAAATTGCAAAGCTTCTGAAGTGTGATCATCGAACAATCAAGCGTTTCATTCAAAATAGTCAACAGGGTCGCAAGAAGCGTGTGGAAAAACCAAGGCGCAAAATAACTGCCCATGAACTGAGAAAAGTCAAGCGTGCAGCTGCCACGATGCCACTTGCCACCAGTTTGGCCATATTTCAGAGCTGCAACATCACTGGAGTGCCCAAAAGCACAAGGTGTGCAATACTCAGAGACATGGCCAAGGTAAGAAAGGCTGAAAGACGACCACCACTGAACAAGACACACAAGCTGAAACGTCAAGACTGGGCCAAGAAATATCTCAAGACTGATTTTTCTAAGGTTTTATGCACTGATGAAATGAGAGTGAGTCTTGATTGGCCAGATGGATGGGCCCGTGGCTGGATTGGTAAAGGGCAGAGAGCTCCAGTCTGACTCAGACGCCAGCAAGGTGGAGGTGGAGTACTGGTTTGGGCTGGTATCATCAAAGATGAGCTTGTGGGGCCTTTTCGGGTTGAGGATGGAGTCAAGCTCAACTCCCAGTCCTACTGCCAGTTCCTGGAAGACACCTTCTTCAAGCAGTGGTACAGGAAGAAGTCTGCATCCTTCAAGAAAACATGATTTTCATGCAGGACAATGCTCCATCACACGCGTCCAAGTACTCCACAGCGTGGCTGGCAAGAAAGGGTATAAAAGAAGGAAATCTAATGACATGGCCTCCTTGTTCACCTGATCTGAACCCCATTGAGAACCTGTGGTCCATCATCAAATGTGAGATTTACAATGAGGGAAAACAGTACACCTCTCTGAACAGTGTCTGGGAGGCTGTGGTTGCTGCTGCACGCAATGTTGATGGTGAACAGATCAAAACACTGACAGAATCCATGGATGGCAGGCTTTTGAGTGTCCTTGCAAAGAAAGGTGGCTATATTGGTCACTGATTTGTTTTTGTTTTGTTTTTGAATGTCAGAAATGTATATTTGTGAATGTTGAGATGTTATATTGGTTTCACTGGTAATAATAAATAATTGAAATTGGTATATATTTGTTTTTTGTTAAGTTGCCTAATAATTATGCACAGTAATAGTCACCTGCACACACAGATATCCCCCTAACATAGATAAAACTAAAAACAAACTAAAAACTACTTCCAAAAATATTCAGCTTTGATATTAATGAGTTTTTTGGGTTCATTGAGAACATGGTTGTTGTTCAATAATAAAATTAATCCTC